GCTTCAGTGGTAGAGAACCCACCTGAGTGGAAAAAGCTAAGCAAAAGTGGAAAAAGCTAAGAAAGAATAGCTTTGAGTTCAAGCCCCAGTACCAGTACAAAAAATACATAAACAAACAAAGAATCAACAAATACAATCATAGGTGTGGGTTTGGTAAGAACAGCTAGATTCCATAATAATGATGAACAATCCATTTCACCATGAGGAAGTTGAGATAGGAACTTGTAGGATTTAGTATAGAATTGGGAGTTGGATAAAATAGGTTTGAGCTATATTTATTTATTTATTTTTTTGTCAGTCATGGGGCTTGAACTCAGGGCCTGGCCACTGTCTCTCAGCTCTTCAGCTCAAGGCAAGCGCTCTACCACTTGAGTCACAGCGCCACTTCTGGTTTTCTGGTGGTTTATTGGAGATAAGAGTCTCATGGACTTTTCTGCCTGGGCTGGCTTTGAACCATGATCCTCTGATCTCAGCCTCTAGGATTACAGGCGTGAGTCACAGGCATCTGACTATATTTCCTAATTTTAAATTTCACTCGGTTTTCCTTCCAGGCACTATAAGGCCAGGAAGATAAATACCTTTAGCCTGGCTAGTTATTTCCTTTTCAAATTGCCAAATTGCCTTCCTGTCCAGCCAGTTTCTCAGAGAAACTACAAGAAGTTAAAGCAGGTAAGACAAACTTATTAATATGCAAGCTTTTGCATAGGAATTTTTTTTAAAAAATAGGTTGTATTATTTATAATTTGCTTTTACTGAGGAAAGAGCTTGGGTAGAAATGATCTAGATATATCACGTATGTTGGAAAATGTGGAGAACGGAGGGAAATGTGCAAATTGAATCTGTGGACATGTACTGTTGTTTCTGGAAGATCAGTCAAGCATTTCAAGTTGGTAAATTGTCTCTGGTTTTCATTTCAGTAATTTGATTGGTTACTCCATCAGTGAATTTGATTGGTTACCAAGGTAACAAACTCAGACCCGGTAAGGAATGTGGGAGCAGATAGCCCTTGTGTTGTCTCTTCTCGTTTCAAACCATCTGTTGACTTATAAGCGTCTGCCAGGTTCCTTGTGATTTCCGTCCACCTCAGTGGTAAATAGAAATGTGTGTGTGTGTGTGTGTGTGTGTGTGTGATGAGTGTGTCCGGGCACACATGCTGGTCCTGGGTTTTGAACTCAGGGTTTGAGTGCTGATCCTGAGTTTTCTTTGCTCAAGGTTTACACTCTACCACTTGAGTCATAGCTCCATTTCCAGCTTTCTCTCTCTTTTTTTTTTTTTTGGGTGCTTAATTGGAGATGAATCTTACCAACTTTCTAGCCTGGGCTGGCTTTGAACCTTGATCCTCAGATCACAGCTTCCTGAATAGCTAGGGTTCCAGGCCTAAGTCACCACACCCGGGAGAAACTTTTTAATAGTTTGATTGGAAAGTTCTGGGCCTGTATTCTTTCCCTTACAGATATTCTTTAATTAGTCCCCGCCCCACCCATCCCCCATCCCCTGCGTCATTCAGTAGCTTCTAAAATTCTGTCTTTTCACTAACTTATTTTAGTGATACTGGGATTTGAACTCAGGATCTCATACTTGCTGGGCAGGTACTCTTCACTTAAGTCATGGTAAAATTCTGCTTTTTCAACATCAGTCCTTCCTTCCTTTCTTCCCTCCTTCCTGCCTTCTTTTCTTCCTTCTTTCCTTCCCCCTCTTTTTTTCCTTCTTTATTCTTGTGTATGTGTTGCCAGTCCTGGGGCTTGAACTTGCCTTGGGTACTGTCCCTGAGCTTCTTTTGCTCAAGGCTCTTACTCTACTACTTGAGCCACAGCGCCACTTGCAGCTCTTTTGGAGTGGTTCATTGGAAATAAGAGTCTCACAGAGTTTCCTTCCCAGGCTGGCTTTGAACTACAACCCTTAGCTTCTCTGCTGGTGCTCTACCACTTGAGCCACTTGGCTTTTTACTAGTTATTTGGAGGTAACAGTCTCACATTTGTCTGCCCAGGCTGGCTTTAAACCACAATCTTTAAATCTTAGCCTCCTGAGTAGCTAGGACTACAGGCATGAGCCACCAGTGCCCAGTTTCCTTCCTTCCTTCCTTCCTCCCTTCCTCTTCTTCCCTCTTTTTTTTTTTTTGCCAGTCCTGGGGCTTGAACTGAGTTTCTTTTGCTCAAGGTTAGCACTCTTACCACTTGAACCACAGCACCACTTCTGGCTTTTTCTCTGCACATAGTACTGAGGAATCGAACCCAGGACTTTGTGCATTCTAGGCAAACACTCTACCACTGAGCCACTGCTGAGGTAGAGTGGCACATCCCTTTATCTTAGAAGAAAGCAGATTGTGTATCTGAAAACTGTCTGAGCAAGATTTGGAACTATGTGACGTTGAGCTTACTTATCTCTATGTACCCAAGGGCTGGGCGGTGGTTGATCTCCGTGGTTCTTTGTAGGTGTGCGTGCGTGTTTGTGTGTGTGTGTGTGTGTGTGTTTGCTTGAACTTAGTGCCTAGGAACTGGGATCCTCAGATCTCAGCTTCCTGAGTAGCTAGGATGACAGGGGTGAGCCACCAGCACCCAGCTTCAACAGTTCTTTCATATGATCCAGTCATTCTCTGTGATTGGGTAGAACCCTCCTCACTTAAGCAGAAAACAATTCTATCAGATGGGATTGTTCTACAGATTGACTCTTTCCTTCCTATAGAAAGGAACTTCAAAGCTGGGTGCCAGTGGCTTGCTCCTGTAATCCTAGCTATCAAGAGGTTGAGATCTGGGGCTGGGAAGGTGGCTTAGTGGTAGAGTGCTTCCCTAGCATGCACAAAGCCCTGGGTTCGATTCCTCAGTACCACAAAAACAGAGAAAGCCAGTAGTGCTGTGGGGTAGTAGAGTGCTAGCCTTGAGCAAAAGCAGTTCAGGGACAGTGCCCAGGTCCTGCGTTCATGAGTTCAAGCCCTAAGATTGTCCAAAAAAAGAGGTAGAGATCTGAGGATCATGGTTCAAAGCCAGCCTGGGCAGGAAAGTCTTTGAGATTCTTATCTCCAACTCATCACCAAAAAGCTGGAAATGGATCTGTGGCTCAAGTGGTAAGAGTACCAACCTTAAGCAGAAAAGCTCAGAGATGGAACCCAGGCCCTGATTTCAAGCCCCCAGGACTAGCAGAGAGAGAAAGAATGAATGAGGGAGGGAAGGGAAGGGAAGGGAAGGGAAGGGAAGGAAGGAAGAAGGGAGGGAGGGAGGGAGGGAGGGAGGGAGGGAAGGATCATTGTTGTCAGGTGCTGGTGGCTCACACCTGTAATCCTAGTTACTCAAGAGGCTAAGATCTGAGAATCAGGGTTCAAAGCCAGCCCAGACAAGCCGGTAGACAAGTCCACTGAAAGTCTTATGACTCTTGTCTTTTTGGGTGGTTTTTTTTTTTTGTTTGTTTGATCATTCATTTTTTTTACCAAGAGTAGTTCATTCCTACACTGAATTTTTTTTGGGGGGAGGGACTGGCCCTGAGGCTTTAAAACAAGAGTCTGGGGGGCTGAGAAGGTGGTTCAGTGGTAGACTGCTTGCCTTGCATGCATGAGGCCCTGGGTTCGAATCCTCAGCACCACATAAGCAGAAAAAGCTGGAAGTGGTGCTGTGGCTCAAGTGGTAGAGTGCTAGCCTTGAGCTGAAGAGCTGAAGGACATCACTCAGGCCCAGAGTTCAGGCCCCAGGACCAGCAAAAAAAAAAGTTAAAACAGAGTCTGGGAGCCTCTTTGTGCTGAAGGCTGATATGCTACCACTTGAGCCACAGCGCCACTTCTAGCTTTTTCTGAGTGGCTTATTGGAGATAAGAGTCTCACAGAGGGGCTGGGAAGGTGGCTCAGTGGTAGAGTGCTTGCCTTGCATGCATGAGGCCCTGGGTTTGATGCCCCAACACCACATTAAGTAGAAGCAGCCAGAAGTGGCGCTGTGGCTCAAGTGGTAGAGCGCTAGCTTTGAGCCAAAGAAGCTCAGGGACAATGCCAAGACCCTGAGTTCAAGTTCCAGGACCGGCAAACAAACAAACAAAAAACGCAAAACCTTCTAAACAAGAGGAGCTGGGGTATCTAGAGTTTACTTACCTCTTCCCTGGGCGTGCTACCACCATCAGAAATTGCCTATTTCCACAGTTCATCAGCACCATGAAGGCAGTTGTGGTCCTAACCATCTCTGTGTGGACTGCCTTTGCAATTGGTAAGTTCCAGGCCTTTGGCCTATTTGTATTTTCTACGGTAGATTTTCAGATCCTGGGGAGGGGTGGCTGGAAATCGGAAGTGAAATGCCATTCAGCTTTGTGTACCTCTTCATCACTCCTGTTGCTAAGGAAACTACAATTCAGAGGAAAGAAAAGAGTTGATTACCGATCGTCATAGCTACTCAGGAGGCTGAGAGCTGAGGATCACGGATCAAAATCAGCCCAGAGAGGAAAGTCTGTGAAATTCTTACCTGCAGTGAAACACCGGAACTAAACTGGAAGTGGAGCTATGGCTCAAGTGTTAAGAACACTATCCTTGAGCACAAGAGCTCAGAGAAAGAGCCCAGACCCTGAGTTCAAGTCCCAAGACTAGATAGATAGATAGATAAATAGACAGACAGATATAGATATAGCAAGCTGGGGGTTAGATCCAGGCTTTCCAAACCCTGACTCAATAAACTTTTCAAAATACCACATTCTCATCTAAAACACTCGGACCTTGGAAATACTTATTTCTTGAATCTGTATGCAAGGCAAGTACTCTACCACTGAGACACTTTCCCAGCCCTTGAATCTGTATGTTTACATATTTCAAATCCAAGCACCAGACTCTGTAAAAATGGACTCTGCTATTATTCTGGTTAATCGTGTTGATGATTATAAGGAAATGCTTAAAGATCTACACACTATGGGCTGGGAATGTGGCTTAGTGGTAGAGTGCTTGCCTACTATGCATGAAGCCCTGAGTTCAATTCCTCAGTACTACATAAAAAGCCCAGAAGTGGTGTGGTAGCTCAAGTGGTAGAGTGCTAGCCTTGAGCAAAAGAAGCTCAGGGACAGTGCCCAGACCTGAGTTCAAACCCCAGGACTGGCAAAAAAAAAATACCCTCAGCATCTTTTAAGGCATCTCATTGTAACTCTTTCATATAATTTATAACTTGTGTGCTTTCTGAAACAATTACAGATTATAGAAGTTATCATTTACAAGCCAGGCACCAGCGCCATGCCTATAATCCTAGCTACTCAGGAGGCTGAGATCTAAGGATCATGGTTGGAAGCCAGACTGGGCAGAAAAGTCCCCAGGAGACTCTTATCTCCAATAAACCACTCAAAAACCAGAAGTGGTGCTGTGGTTCAAGTGGTAGAATGTTAGCCTTGAGCACAAAGAGCCTCAAGAACAGAGGAAGAAGAAATTGTCATTTACCCAGATCTCTTCTTCACCAGGAGATGAGAGGCAGAAGAGCTGCGATACTTTGCTCTTCTGGGGGAAAACACCATGCACCAAAGAGGAGGCGTAGCCTCTTTTTTTGGGTGGGGGGTTGGTCATGGGGCTTGAACTCTGGGCCTGGGCGCTGTCCCTCAGCTCTTCAGCTCAAGGTGAGCGCTCTACCACTTGAGCCACAGCACCACTTCTGGTTTTCTGGTGGTTCATTGGGCATAAGAATTTCACAGACTTTCCTGTCTGGGCTGGCTTTGAACTGTGATCCTCAGATCTCAGCCTCCTGAGTAGCTAGGATGACAGGTGTGAGCCACTGGCGCCTGCCTCTTCTTTCTTTTTGTCTTCCAGACTTCCCTCTTCCTGTGGCCCCCAAAGGAGAAAACTTCGAAGAGACAAAGGTGAGCTCTCCTTCCTTGGTTCCTTGGGACAGGAATAAGGGACAGAGCCACTTTCCCTGAGCAGCCTCCATCTTTCTTCTGGGAGATGGAGAAGGTTGGAGAAGAGAGAACTTATAGGAGAGGAGTCATCAGACAAAATGAGTTACCAAGCTGAGCACCAGGAGCTCACGCCTGTCATCCTAGCTATTTAAGAGGCTAAGATCTGAGGATCATGTTTCAAAGCCAGCCCAGGCAGGAAAAAAAAAATCAGTGAGGACTGGGAATATGGCTTAGTGGTAGAGTGCTTGCCTAGCATGCATGAAGCCCTGGGTTCCATTCCTCAGCACCACATACACAGAAGAAACTGGAAGTGGTGCTAGCAGAGCGCTAGCCTTGAGCCAAAGCAGCTCAGGACAGTGCTCAGGCCCTGAGTTCAAGCCCCAGGACTGGCAAAAAAAAAAAAATCAATGAGACACTCCCATTAACTAGCAAAAATTCAGAAATAGAGTTATGGCTCAAGGGGTAGAATACCATATTGATTTAAAAACAAAAAACAGCTTAGGCTGGGTGCCAGTGGCTCATGTCTGTCATCCTATCTACTCAGGAGGCTGAGATCTGAGGATCGTGGTTCAAAGACAGCCCAGATAGTTCTTTTTTTTTTTTTTTTGGTCAGTCATGGGGCTTGAACTCTGGGCCTGAGTGCTGTCCCTCAGCTCTTCAGCTCAAGGCGAGCGCTCTACCACTTGAGCTACAGCGCCACTTCCGGTTTTCTGGTGGTTTATTGGAGATAGGAGTCTCACGGTCTTTCCTGCCCTGGCTGGCTTTGAACCGCGATCCTCAGATCTCAGCCTCCTGAGTAGCTAGGATTACAGGCGTGAGCCACCAGCACCCGGCCCAGATAGTTCTTATTTCCATTGAACCACCAGAAAACCGGAAGTGGAGCTGTGGCTCAACGTAGTAGAGTTCTAGCCTTGAGCAAAAGAGCTCAGGGACAGCATCCAGGCCTTGAGTTCAAGCTTGACAATGGACAAAAACAAAATAATAAAATAAAATGGACAAATAAAGTGGTCATGACTCAAATTCAGGGTGGTCTCATTTCTGTAGTGGAGACCCTGTCCACTGTGATATATTCTTTTTCTTTGGTTGTTTTTTGCCAGTCCTGGGGCTTGAACGCTGGGCCTGGGCACTGTCCCTCAGATTCTTTCGCTCCAGGCTAACACTCTACCACTTCTGGCTTTTTCTGTGGATGTGGTACTGAGGAATGGAACCCAGGGCTTCATGCATGCTAAGCAAGCACTCTACCACTAAGCCACTTCCCCAGCCACCCATGGTGTATTCTCACCCTGCTGTGATCATAGGATCACATAACACATGACATCACACATGAGATCGGTCATTCAGACTTGTAGCTTGTCCTCTGAATTCTTAGTCTGGGGCCTTTACTCAATCTCCTGCTGCTTCTACCAGTGAGTGGCCAAAGAAACTACCGGAAGGCCACTGAAGCCGTGCTCTGTATGTCTTCTTCAGGCCCAGTGTTCCAACAACATTTATAAGTGCTGGATTCTCCCCTACTTTAAGCCAAGTGAACCCATATGCGGCAGTGACCACGTTACCTACAGCGGCGAATGCCATCTCTGCTCCAAAATTCTGTAAGTCCTGACTTGTCTTCTCCCATATACCAAGCCAAGAGGCTAAGAGTGACCAATGCTAAATAAAAATAAAATAAAAGTGACTTCCTGGGCTAGGAAGGTGGCTCTGTGGTAGAGTGTTTGCCTTGCACGCATGAGGCCCTGGGTTCCATTCCTCAGCACCACTTAAGAAAAAAGAAAATAGCCGGAAGTGGCGCTGTGACTCAAGTGGTAGAGTGCAGAGTGCTAGCCTTGAGCTGAAGAGCTGAGGGACAGCATCCAGGTCCAGAGTTCAGGCCCCACGACCGGACCCCCCCCCCAAAAAAAAAGAATCTCCCAGTTTAAGCAGGGCGCCAGTGGCTCATGCCTGTAATCCTAGCTACTCAAAAGGCTCAGATCTGAGGATTGAGGTTCAAAGCCAGCCCGGGTAGGAAAGTCTGTGAGACTCTTATCTCCAATAAACCACCAGAAAACTGGAAGTGGTGCTGTGGTTCAAGTGGTAGAGTGCTAGCCTTGACCTGAAGAGGTGAGGGACAGCGCCCAGGCCCAGAGTTCAAGCCCCACGACTGACAAAAAAGCAACAAAAACAGAACCTCCCAGTTAATGCTTTCACGGCTAATGAATTAGCAAGTTTCCTCCTCAAAGTCAGCCAAAGATCACAAATAAAATTCAGTCATATTTCTTGATGGTATACCAAAAGAGCAAAAAATAATCATCTCAAAATACAATTTCTTTCAGATATGAAGGGTTTAACATCACTAAGCAACATGACGGATCATGTGTAAGTAATGTTATTTCTATTTTAGTAGCAAGCCAGATATATTTTAAAACTCACTGTTGCTGGGCACCAATGGCTGACACCTGTCATCCTAGCTACTCAGGTGGCTGAGATCTAAAGATCATGGTTCAAAGCGAGCCCAAGCAGGAAAGTCTGTAGAAACTTTTATCTGTAATTAAATACCAAAAAGCCAGAAGTAGAGCTGTGGTTCAAGTGGTAGAGCACTAACCTTGAGCAATAAAAGCTCAGAGGCAGCCCAGGCCAGGACTGGCACAAACCAATCAACAACAGCAACAAAAACCACCTTATTGTTGTCAAAGACTTGTAATGTTCTGTTATAAAAAAAAATGTTCAACAGGGCTGGGAATATGGCTTAGTGGGAGAGTGCTTGCCTAGTATGCATGCAGCCCTGGGTTCGATTCCTCAGTACCACATACATAGAATGGCTTGAGCCACTGTGGCTCAAGTGGTAGAGTGTTAGCCTTGAGCAAAAGAAGCTCAGGGACAGTACCCAGGCCCTGAGTTCAAGTTCCAGGGCTGGCAAAGATATTTTTTTCAACATACCTTAAAGACAGTAATGTTAATAAAGGTCCTGTGTCCATCATATAGATTTAACAAACTAGGAGGTTTTTGGTCATGTTTTCTTCCTCTGTGCTTTGTTTCTATTTTATTTGTGTGTGTGTGTGACTGGGGTTTAAACTCAGGGCTGCCTGATCTCCCTTACATTCAAGACTGGCCCTCTACCACTTGAGCCAGAGCTCTATTTCTAGCTATTTGTTAGCTAATTGGAGATTTCAAAAAAAAAAAATCTCTCAGACTTTTGGCCTAGTTGACTTCAAATCTCAATCCTCCCATCTCAACTTCCTGAAGAACTAGGATTCCAGGTATGATTCACCAGTGTTGGACTCTTGCTCTCCTCTCCTCTCCACTTTTTTTTTTAACCTCTCCAATGAAATTAGAATGTCTCTAGTCTGCCTTAATGCAGAGAATAGTTGTTTAGCATTCCTCTTGCTAGCTCCTAGCTTTTCATTTGATCAAATTGGTTTCTCTTTATTTATTTTGTTTTATTTTGTTGCCATTCCTGGGGCTTGAATTCAGGGCCTGGGCGCTGTCCCTGAGCTTCTTTTCCTCAAGGCTAGGACTCTACCACTTGAGCCACAGTGCTACTTTCAGGATTTTCTATTTATGTGGTACTGAGGAATTGAACCCAGGGCTTCGTGTATACTAGGCAAGCACTCTACTACTAAGCCACATTCTCAGCCAAACTGAGTTCTCTAAACAGGTATTTCTCTTGCAGAAAAACTCCTGAACTTACTAAGTCTTCAGATGACCAAATGAAGTACAATGGTTAACTCTTCAAGAATATCCTCTTTTGAAGAGAATTCTCACACTTGAGGAAACTAGTATTTATAATCAGATTCATTAATATGCTTTTTCAATAAAATGATTCTTAGTAGAAAACCTGGCTGGTAAATGGTGCCCTTGTTAATCTTTTTATAAATATATTAGATTGTTATATTTTCATCCCCAAACTGTATGACTTGTGCCATAGGACCTCACCATTCTCACATAAAATTGTGAGCAAATGATCACTGAAATATAAAAGGGGGGGAGTTGAGGGTGTGGTTTGGGTGATTGAGTATCAGCCAATGAACAAACACGTCATATCAAGAGTTAGAATCCAGCCAAGGCACTAGTGGCTCACGCCTGTAATCCTAGCTACTCAGGAGGCTGAGGATTGTAGTTCAAGGGCAGCCTGGGCAGGAAATCCATGAGAGTCTTCTGACCAATGAACCACCAGAAAACTGGAAGTAGAGCTATGGCTCAAGTGGTAGAGCAGTCCCCTTGAGCTGAAGGGCTAAGAGACAGCGCCCAGGCCCAGAGTTCAAGCCCCATGATTGACCAAAAAAAAAAAAAAAAAAGCAAAACAAGAATTAGAATCCAGACTGGGCACTGGTGGTTCACTCCTATAATCCTAGCTACTAAGGAGGCTGAGATCTGAGGATTGTGGTTCAAATCCTGCCTGGACAAAAACGTCCATGAGACTCTCTTAACTGTATTTTTTTTTTGTCTTTTCTTTTTTGGTACTGGGGATTGAATCCAGGACGTTGCACTTGCTGGGCAAGTGCTTTGCCACTGAGCTACATCCCAGCCCCATGAGACTCTTACCTCCAAATGAACCACCTCAAAACCAGAACTACTGCTATTGCTCAAAATGATCCATCACTAGCCTTGAGCAAAAGAGCTCAGGGATATAGCCCAGGCTCTGAGTTCAAACCCCACAATCACTACCCCCCCCAAAAAAAAATTTTTGAATCTTGGTCTCAGACAAAAATATAAATATTAATATAAATAAATACATATGGAAAGAATAAGGCACCTAAATAGTAGCAATATTTATAAGATTTATTTATTTATAAGGTGGAAGCTTTGGCCATTATGTCCTATAAGCGATATAATTTTCAATATGTCAAGGTCTGATTGCACTTTAGTTTTTGTTTCTACAGCTCAAGACTAGTGCTCTACCACTTGAGCTACAGCACCACTTCAGGCTTTTTTCTTTTTGCTTATGTGGTGCTGAGGAATCGAACCCAGGGCCTCAGGCATGCAAGGCAAGTGCTCTACCACTGAGCCACCTTCCCAGCCCTCAGTACTGAGGTTTGAACTCAGGGACTCCTTGCTCTCATTTGGCTTTTTCGATCAAGGTTGGCACTCTTACCACTTGAGCCACAACTCCACTTACAGCTTTGTGCTGGTGAGAGGTTAAGAGTCTCACAGAGTTTCCTGCCCAGGCTGGCTTCCAACTGCAATCCTCAGAATTCAGCCTCCAAAGTAGCTAGAATTACAGGCGTGAGCACTTTAGTGCCTGGCTGGATTGTTTCATTAATCATTTAAAGTTTAAAAAAAAAAGGCTGTAAGTGGACCTACGGTTCAAGTGGTAGAGCACACTGCACAAAAGGACAGTGCCCAGGCCCTGAGTTCAAGCCCCAGGACCAGCAAACACACACACACACACACACACACACCCCTGTATGAGTTCAAGCCCCAGGACCAGCAAACACACACACACACCTGTATCTTCCCAAAGACACTGAAAACACCTAAGGTGCAAACACAGTATTTAAAAAATAAAAATAAAGCTGGGCGCAGTGGCTCACGCCTGTCATCCTAGCTACTCAGGAGGCTGAGAGCTGAGGATCGTGGTTCAAAGCCAGCCCGGGCAGGAAAGACCGTGAGACTCTTATATCCAATGAACCACCAGAAAACCGGAAGTGGCGCTGTAGCTCAAGGGGTAGAGCGCTCGCCTTGAGCTGAAGAGCTGAGGGACAGCCCTGAGTTCAAGCCCCACGACCGACCAAAAACAAAAAATTGAAATACATGAAGAAAATACATAACTAAAACCACAAATAATATTAAAGTAGGGGCGCGCGGTTAACGCGCTCTAACCCCGCGGCGTTGACGCACCTCCAGTCTCACTTGACTTCCGGTCTCGCTCCCCGCGCTGCCCACTTCCGACTTCCGGCCTCACACGGCTGCTAAGCAACCGCTCAAGAACCCGCCCCGCGACTCCCGTATTTGGGCTGCCCGGCCGAACGCCTGAAGGAGCGGAAGGACCTCACCGGGCTACCTAGCGCAGTGCCTGACGGCCCGGCGCCGCCGCAGGGAAGAGCCCGGTGAGGCCCGGGAAGCTTTGGTGGTTGTGGGGCTCGGGGATGGCGCCCCTGGGGGGAGGGTTAGAGGTGCTCGGGGTTGGGCGGAGGTGGAGCAGCATGTGGGGAAAATGCCTAGGCAGCTTGTCATGGGGCCCCGTGGCTCGTGTATCTCTCAGGCAGGAGGCTGAGACCTGAGGATCCCGGTTCGAAACCAGCCTGGGCAAGAAGGTCTGGGAGACTCTTCCTCCCCATTTGAATCACAGGATGAATGAACGAATGAATGAGTAAATAAGTGGAGCTATGGTTCCAGTAGTAGAGCACTAACTAGTCTTGAGGGGAAAAAAAAAAAAACAGATCCAGGGACAAGGCCTGGGTCCTGGCTTCAAGCCTCAGGGCCGGCGTGTGCAAACACACACACACACACACACACACACAGAGTATAATTTGCTGATGGGATCACCTTTCAGTGGAGCATATACACTGAGCCCAATTTCACACCTTGACATTTTGTAAACCTAGAGCCCAGGTAACCTGATACTGGAAAAAAGAAAAGGTCCTGGATCCTCTAAGATGACTCCCTAGCCTTCTGGGCTTGGAATAATTAGAACAAGTTCAGATACTAATGAGCGTCAGCTGTGGGTTGGGCACACCATGCACATGGCACCAAGCCTAGAATGAGTGAAAACAATCTCTGCGTTCACAAAGCTGGGCTTTTAGAGACAGCATAGGAGCTCAGAGAAATTATTATTATTATTGGTAGTGGTGGTGGTGGTGGTGGTCATGGGCTCAGGGCCTGGGTGCTATCCCTGATTTCTTTTTTGCTCAAAGCTAGTGCTCTACCACTTTGAGCCACGGCTCTACTTCCAGTTTTCTGGTGGTTCATTGGACATAAGGGTCTTGTGGCTTTTCCTGCCTGGATAGGCTTTGAACTGTGAGCCTCACATCTCAGCCTCCTGAGTGGCTAGGATGACAGATGTGAGCCACCAGGGTCCAGCTGAGAAATTATCTGAGTAGGAGGTAATTAGAGGCTGCACATACAAGAAAGAGAAGTGGTAGAAGTGCCACCCTTGAAGGAAAATGTGAAGGGATTAGTGGATTAGTGCCTAGGCCATGAGTCCAAAGCCTAGTACACACACACACACACACGGAATCAGTCATTGTACCCTGGTTAGGCTGGAAGTCCCTGCTCCTACTCCCGAGTGCTAATAAGCAAGTAAATAAGTAAACAATGTATGTCACTGTGAAGTGTAAGTATCAGGTGTTTGGTTAGTGTCAGGAAGGGGGGCCCTGGCTGGGTTGCAGAGTCTCCTGGGCTTCCAGAGGAGGGAGGGGTGAATCCATCATTGGTGGGTCCCTAATGCAGCTCTCTAATGGCAGGAAGTGACATGAGCACCGTCTTGCGAAGCCCCCGGGCTCTCCAGCTCACGCTGGCCTTGCTCAAACCTGATGTAGTTGCTCATCCACTGATTCTGGAGGTAAGAACTTGAGTCCCAGCCAGGCACTACTGACTCACGCCTGTCACCCTAGCTACTCAGGAGGCTGAGATCTGAGGATCTGCCTGGGCAGGAACGTCCTTGAGACTTATCTCCAATCACCAGAGAACCAGAAGTGGCGCTGTGGCTCCAAGTGGTCAAGTGCTTGCCTTGAATGAAAAAGCTCAGGGACAGTGCCCAGGCCCACAGTTCAAGTCCCATGATCAACACACACACACACACACACACGCGCAAATACAAATGTGGGGAACTGGTGACTCATGCCCATAACCCTAGCTAGTCAAAAGACTGAGATAAGACCATCATAGTTCAAAGCCAATCTCCAATGAATGAGCAAAAGGCTAGAAGTACACAGCACTTCCTGTCCTCCATTTGCCCAAAGCCCAGCACAAAAAAAGAGTTAAGGGTCCTAATATTATCCCCTTGAAAGGCATACCCCCATGAACACCAAATTCCTTCAACTAGGCCCTAGCTCCTAAAGTTTCCACTGCCTCCCAAGACTGCCTGTATCTGAGGACCTAGCCTTGAATGCTTGAGTTTGGGAGAACATTGAAGATCCAGATCATAATATTTACTAATGGGATGACCTATCTGAACTTCATGGGGATCCTCATGGCTTCTTTGTGTCAGCACAGGTGTTTTGTTTTAAATTCTAAATTAGTAGATTTGGGGGATTTGTTGTTGTTGTTGGTCGTGGGACTTGAACTCAGGGCCTGGGCACTGTCCCTATGCTTTTTTGCTCAAGGCTAGCACTCTACCACTTTGAGCCACAGCACCACTTCCAACTTAATTTCTGAGTAGTTAATTGGAGATGATTCTCATGGACTTTTCTGCCTGGGCTGGCTTGAAACTGTAATCCTCAGATCTCAGCCTCCTGAGTAGCTAGGATGACAGGCCTGAGCCACCAGTGCCCCAGCTTAATCTGAATTGATTTTTATCTTTGGGTGGTATTTGTCCAGGCTATTCATCAGCAGATTCTGAACAACAAGTTCCTGATTGTACGAATGAAAGAACTATTATGGAAAAGGGAAGATTGCCAGAGGTTTTACCAAGA